ACCAGGATTATTTCATGAATCTGGCCACTTTCGGATCTGTTAGTTCACCGTGCTCTGCACAATACGTTAAGAACCTTAACGCTAGCGAATATGCGGATCGTTATCCAGAAGCAGCGGATGCAATAATACGTAAGCATCACGTAGACGACTATCTGGATAGCGTTGATAGCGAGGAGGAAGCGATTACAGGGGCGAGAGAAGTAACGTTCGTCCATTCGAGAGGCGGATTTGTAATTCGTGGGTGGATGTCTAACTCGGAGTACGTTCTACAGCAGCTAGGTGAGTCAACGAGCGCTGAAGTTAAGAAGTTTTCTAAGGAGATCCTCAACTGTTCAGAACGTGTGTTAGGAGTGTTATGGATGCCCAGGGAAGTACCACCGAATGGCATTGGATTCCCTCGGATTTGAATTCTGCTGATGATGCCACCAAGTGGAAAGGAAAGCCGAATCTGAATCCGGAAGGTTGCTGGTTCGGAGGACCTGAATTTCTGCGTATGAGTGAGAAGTATTGGCCGTCATCTCCAGATGTGAAGTACGATACAACTAAGGAACAGCATTCCAACTTGGTTATTGAGCAACAAAGGGTCCACTGAACCAGGAAGAGTTGGCAACAGCAGAGGCGTAGATCTTTCGTTCAATCCAAAAGGAGGTCTACCCGAAGGAAGTGACCTTTTTGACTACAATTGATACTCCTGGAAATGGCGCGAAATTAGATAGCGACAGTAAACTTTTCAAACTTTCTCCGTTCCTTGATGAGAAGGGAGTCCTGCGTATGGGAAGCAGAATCAGCCTGGCTGCGTTCGCATCCTTTGACACAAGAAATCCCATCATTCTTCCTCGGAATCACCATGTTACGAACCTCACCGTCATGTGGTATCACCATAAGTTCCACCACAGTAATGTTGAAACTGTGATTAACGAGATGTGGCAGCGATTCCACATATCCAACCTACGCACTGTCGCACGATGCGTAGCCAGGGAATGCGCGCTATGCAAGATCCTTAAAGCGGTCCCGTCGATACCTAGGATGAGTCCCCTTCCCATGGCCGGACTAGGGGCTTTTTTCCGGCCGTTCACATTTGTCGGCCTGGATTATTTTGGTCCAACGACGATGGGACGATGCAACGTGAAACGATGGGAAGCGTTATTCACGTGTCTTTCCATTCGTGTTGTGCATCTAGAAGTCGTGCATTCGCTATCGACAGAGTCATGCAAGATAGCTGTTCGACGTTTTGTGGCCCGGCGTGGCTCTCCAGCAGAAATATAAGGCGATAACGCGACAAACTTTCTGGGTGCCAGCAACGAACTTCAGAGCGAAATCAGGACCATCAACGGAAACCTAGCCGAGACTTTCACAAACGCCAATACGAAATGGTTATTCATTCCTCGGACAAACACTCAAACCATCACTTATGAAATGTATTTCCGATACAGTCATCACAAATTCAATGTTGTATTCTTATTTCATTTTCATTTTGCAGCGTTTGGTGGGGCAATGGGAGCGCAAGTCAATCCAAAGCCGAGGATAAAGGACGGGTAATGGCTGAATAGTCTATGCGGACCTCTTGAACGCCATGGGAAAAGGAAGGGATTGAAGAGGCCGGTTATTGGGGGGTTTTGAGGAAAATGACACATAGTGATGCTAAATGTAAAGAAACCGAAAATCCATCTCCCACTGATTCATCCTTTCACATATATACCAAATTGATATTTTAAAGCAATAATCAAAATAAACAAACAATACATGAAAAGGCTAGTTGCCAGTTGCTTTAAATGCTAGTTGCCTCCCTAAGCGGACCCTCCGCATCCTAACTCTTCTGTTAATCCACTTAATACTACTAGGCTGTCTAAATTTTAATATTTATGTTCGTTTGATGATTATGATATCTCTAGTCTAATTTAATAAATAATTGAAATCTCTAATCTACCTACCATGCTTTATTAAGTACCTGCACTTGTGAATGTAATCTAAAATTTAACGTGTTTCAAGTTGTTTTTTACTTTGACCTATATTTAATATATATTAGTTTGTCCCAGGTGACACCTTCAAGTGACTAAAACGCTTCACTTTGAAGTTAGTTTCCTAGCTGATTTTTAAATTACATAGGTTATATGCTTCAACTACGCTCACACGTTTCCACTATGTCGCACCACAAAAATACGTATGGTTATGTCACAATAGAAGCACGTCACAGTGGAAATCCCGAGCCATAGTTCAAACACTTATCCCAAATCAAAATGAAGCACATATAAGATTAGTTGCAATACCATGTACAAAAATGGCGTTTAACATTGTTCCCTGAGTAATACCTCAATGAAAACAACAACGAAAGCTTGTCACGCAAGTAGAAGGAGCACTGTTGCGCACTTTCTGAAATATTTCAATAGTATAATTCCCTTGCAAACCCAAATAAATCTATCTGCGTAAAAATAAATAAAATAAGAGTGATTTGCGGCAAAACCCGCCAGTATCGCACCCAACGTCAGTGCCTATACGTAAGCGTACTACAACGCGGTTATCAAATAAAGGAGTAACAAGTGTGATACTATCACTTCAGGCTAGAACTTTGGTTCTCTTATGCAATGATTCATCGGAGAGGGGAAGCTCAGTAATCCTCATCGCATGCTCATGACGCTATTCTGTCACGGCATGAGCCAACGATTCCGGACCTAAACCAACCGTCTCCAACGCTCCACTATGAAGCATAAGATTAGGCCCGCCCACCAACGTCCAGGTTAAAAAAAACTAGCCAAGGGAAGGGAAATTCAATGTTGTATTCTTATTGCATCACGCTAAGATCAGATAACCCAAATGTAGGTTTACTTTACCCAAATCAGGCGTAAACTGCACAAACTCAGATATGCGTAAATTTTTTAACCCAAATATGGGTAAATTTAAGTCAAATTAGCATAAAAATAGATCATTTATGGATCATAAGAACCCATATTTGGGTTAAAAAAATTTACCCATATGTGAGTTTGTGCAATTTACGGCCAATCTCGGTAATCTCTTTGTACCGTCTGGGTAAACTGATCTTAGCGTGTATAAAGTTTTCTGATTATATACTCATTCAAAGTTTCATATTTAAAGAACTAAATTGTTTGAGTTTCACTCATTTTTTTCTACATTTATCGAGCATTATCAAAGTAACCCCAAATTAAAATACTGAAGTTCGGTCACAAAACTAAAAAAATAGTGTAAATGCTTTAATTTTCGTTCAACACATAAATAGCAAATTAGCTCTTGGATCCTCAGTACTTGTTTTAAAAATATAAATTTGAAAAAAAAGTCATTGCTGTAAAAAATATTTAGAATATACTTCAAAAAAACTATCAATGTTACCCCGTTTTATGATACTACACTGTTTGTTTTGATTCGCTATGAAAGTTTGACAAATAAAATTAGGGGTTCGTGGATTTTCCTATGTTTCGAGGGGTGCATCGAATAGCTTGGGACCGAAGATAGTACCAGAGCTGAGCCAAAAAGTTGAGCACGTTTCTTTGGGACCTTCTTAGAGTTACCTTGCGTCTTAGAGTTACCTCTATGTTATGTACCTATGGTTGTACTTGCAACACAATAATACTAATGCAAAATGTTTGCTAATAAAGCTAAGAACAACTGTGGAAATGCGCAAACAATACTAAGTTAAGAGCCGGCGCAAATTCCCAGTGGGGACGTAATAACAGCCAAAGAAGAAGAAGGTGCTTCAAAACAAAAAAAATATAAATGACACAAAAATTGTGCTGTTTAAATTATCTGTCATTTATTATTTAATCAGAAATTGGGTACACTTTCTAAAAATACGAAGTATAAGATCTAACGTGTCATGTCTCAAAGCACATACATTTACATTAGTTTGTAGTATTGTGTAAAAAGTAGAAGGGTCTGTGCCTAGGGGCACGAACGGAAGCTTTACGTAGGACCGCTAGTGGACGGAACAAATGTGAAGATCATTAAGTTCTTTTAATTGATCGGTCATCTATTATCTTAACTCTTTCCGATTATGAATTGTAGGCGTACCAAATTTGTAGTATTTTTTTTTCAAAATGAAAGTTGATGAAGAGAATCGATCAAAATAACTTGCACCCCTGCTTCCAAGTTTGGTTACAAGATTACAACTCTGGAGAGCATTTTGTGTGGTCGTTGGGGGCGTGTGGTTCTGAATATGGACAAACAGGCACAGATAAATTCTATTAAACTCTTTACTGTAATAAGCTTGTTCACCCTGAAAAGGGCCATTTTGTTGCCAAAGTTGGTGACTAAACCGTACACAGTGTGTCTCTGTCGCTTTAAAGCGTAGATGACATTTTTAACAAGACCTTTTCCTCCTTTGCCACGACCAGTCATTGTTGCTTGTTAGGTAGAATAGTGGACCGCCTTGCTACTGCTGCTATCAGTCGGAAGCATTGCTATTGATGCGTGGAAATATTTCTGATCGATTGGTGATAAAATTATTGAAATTGGTCCAGGGGCAGCTGAGTTAATAATGTTCAAAATCTTTCATAATTTTGTTACACGTTCCATTTTCAGTTTTCACAAAGTGTACCCCCATATAGAAATCACAGACGTAATCCTATGTCAAAAAATACAAGATCTTGTCGTTCATTACTATTCAGTAAAATTCATTGTTCATATTTAACTCATGCCACAACGTATCATAAATAACAACATTTAAGCAAATGATTTGTTTATTCTGCACACACTAAGAACCAAGAAATATTATTGCATAAGCAAATTTCTTTATTTCCGAATCAATTGTGGCACGCCATCATTGTAATAATATAAAACCCAATGCGTCCGTGTTTTTTTTACCTGAACACGACCTTGACTTTTCCAACAATATGCACAATATCTGCAGAATGGAACGGACCGAAACCGGTTATGCAACCGACGACGCTACGGAAGAAACAGACGTCTTCTAAATCATACCGAAATTAGCACCAGTGATTTGTCAACACAATTTAAGGCAGAAACTTGCAGGTGGGTTGCATATACTCTACCTTTATGCTGCTGCTCTGCTACGTAGTTTTTTTTTTCGTGGGTTGGTGTGCTTCCTTCTCCAAATGCGAGGTAAATGTGAGGATGAGTGAATTTTGGCACCGGTCCCAAAACGAGACACACCGAGGAGAGAGAGAGACTGAGTGAGTACCGCTTCTATGGGCTCAGCATGGGAATTATTGATAAGCTTGGTGACCGGTAGATTTCACCCAAGCGATGGACATATCGGTGATTGGGCGACAATAACACCACCGGAACCAGGCGATGATGGCTGCAATCAGGGAATTTGCAAGTATGTTGTAGCCCCGTAATGCGAGCTGTTGTTTTCTTCGAAAAATAATCCAATTTGGTGGCTCACTACTGTTTATTGAATTGTTCTGCTTTCCTTAAACACTCGGTTCTACTTTCAATACACAATCTTCCTCCTGTATTGGAACACACACACACTGACACCGATTTAAACAGAGCAAAGCAACCACTTCGTCGTAGAGATTAGGGCAGGAGTCGTTCGAAGTTGGCTACAATTATGTCATTTGACATTTCCGTATCCTCTTGGAAGGAAAATTCTTCTTTGGCCAGTGTGCCACTTTCCAGCACTAATTTTTCCTCACACTCGTATGATTCGCAATTACTCTGAGGTTATCCGAAAGGAAAAAGAATTATTGATTTAATAACAATCCTGTCGAGCTAAAAATAAAATATGTACACAAGTATTCTTTCAGCTCCGTCCTCGTTTTCACACCTGTCATGAATGGAATTCTTAACACTCAGTACTCTTTCGTGAGAATATCCACAGAATCGCAACTTTTTCTGCCTCACCGGTACGTCCACACTGTGAAATCCTTCCGCAATCCTTTCGATAACCAATTTACACTCCAAGAATTCCGTCAATTCCTACACTCGACACTCCCGATTCGCACGAAAAGAATTCAATTTTCCATTCCCTACGTTCTCCGCCGAATGCGTTGAAAATCGAAACCAAAGACCACGGCCAGCCGCCAGGGACCTCAGGAAAATGGAAAAAAAAAACCGCGTCGCGTTAGACACCAATGGCTCGCTCCAGGAGAACTTGCTGTTAGCCAAACGTCAAATCTGCAACTGGCGAGAAAATTTTCACTTTTCCGATACATCGGTACCACAGACCATCGCGCGCCCGTGTCACCGCCTGGTATTTTACTCGCACTCCCTACTGTGTGTTGGTGTGACCGTATCGATTTTCCACCCAACAACCGACAGCAACGACGACGGTGCTACTCACTGTGGTAGGTAACTTTGCTTCTTGCCCTACCATGAGGCGATGATAACAGTTTTCCTTCCAGTGTAAATACATGCACGCACACAGACGATGGCTTTTGAGTTGGTGTGCTTGCGACCAAGCGACGACAGTTTGGCGGTGAGAAATTTTTGTGTGATGGAATGGCGCAGACGGCGACGGCGACGATGATGATGATGACGATGAAGACGGGTGGGGTCAGGAAAAACCATGTGCTATTGCCTGGAACAGTGAGTAGCACACTAACACTCCTAGACGCAAGGTGTTTCTAATGTTACGTGCTACGATGGGTGGAATTTTCCTCCTAATCAGTGGCTGTCGACCGTTTTGTTTCGTGTGAGTGTGGTTTGTGTCTTGAATAGACCTGTTGACGGGCGGCTGACTTGTGCAATAATTTTAACAGGGCTGGCACTAGAAGTGATGGCGAATTACTTTACGAAATCATACCAAATATTCAGACCAATAAATAAGAAATTATTTTTCGCTGAAAGCTTATAAAAAAAGACACGACCGCATAGACTACGTTGAGATGTTTAGTGAACTTCTCGTGCATTTTTCTTGATATTGATTTAAAATACAGTAGAAGTAAATTATTTGCTCAATTTACTTCATTTCCTCTCCTTGACATGTCAATTTCCTCACCTTTATTAGTTATTTTTCTGACTGTTTCTGGACTTTCCGTTAGTGATATTTCCGCATATGAAACACTTGTCTTTAATCCTTCGTTATAAAATATATTCTCCGTGCACACTTCAATGCCCATCCCATCTTTATTAAACATTTGTTATGGATAACACGTTTAACCAAACGCTTGATCGCAGTGGGAGGGGTGGGAAATCGTTCACAAGCATGTATTGCACATTCCAGCGCAAGTAACATTGTAAGTTTTATTGAGGTTTTAAAGCACTGTACAAGTCTAAATAGTGGTCTACAGTACCCTCATAAAACCCAAATTGTTACTTGAGAGGTAACCAATAAGCCCGCTAATTTGGATTGATTTTGTTATATAAAGCTAACATACGACTATTTTACCACATTGTCCGTCCGATGATACTATCATTAGTAAAGCAAACAGAATGCTATGCTTCATCAAAAGGTTCAGTCATAATTTCGCCCAATTCTGGAATACTACCACCTAGTATGGAATCCATACATTTCCATACACGAAGAACGCATAGAATCTGTCCATAAACAATTCCTTTTAAATATATGCTTTACGTAAATTTAATTGGACTGCATTTCCATTACCATCTTATGAAGCGCGCTGCATGCTCATCAATATACAAACACTTAAGGAGCGCCGCCAATTTGCAATGCTTTTCTTCATCAACGAAATTATTTCAATGCGCATAGATTCGGCAGAAATTCTCGCACAATTAAACTTTTACACACCTTGTCGATATCTTAGAACACGGAATTTATTTTCCGAAAAATTGTACAGAACAAACTATGCAAAAAATAGCCCAATCAATCGAATGATGCGCCTATATAATTTGCAATGCGGAACTATTGACATCACTATGTCCAAGCAGCAAATAAAAACTAAGCTAAAACAGAATAGAATTAATGCATAGTATGTAAGTAAGCATTGTCATAATCATTGTATGTAGTCTACAATGGCTTGACGAAATGGAAATAAAGATGCGAAAATGAACGGATCCACAACAGCAGCGCTCAAGCCTGACTGCGGTAACGTTAAGCAGAGGCAGAGTGAACAATTCCACCTTTTCCTGAATGACAGCAGAGCTCTTATATAGTTTTACAGGTTTAAGCAAAACGATTATTTCATCAAAACAGTGATAAAATCAGGCTTCCTGTAATCTCGTGAGCACAGAGAAGAGACAGTGTGCTTTGCGCTACCTAATTTCGTACCCCTCTCAGTTATGGTGAGCTGTGTGAAGTAAACGAACGACGATAAAATTATCACTTTTTATTTGCGCATTTATCAACGATTTTTTTTAAAATAATTGAAAAATTATGTATTGTAACAGATTGTGAGAGTTATTTCCTATCAATTGGTGTATTTGGATTTTTTATTTCATCTATAAATGACAAAGTTATAAGCGTTCAAAACCTGACACCTTTTCGTGACGGTCGCAATTTTAGATTTTCGATTTACCCTCAGTACCGTTCCGGAGACAATACGGGGCGAAAATGAACCACTTTTCTGTCAAACGCGAACCTGCTTGTGATTGGCCGATTAGAAGTGCGTAAGATAGAGATACAAATAGATATAGACAGAGATAGAGATAAAAGAATAAGAAGCCAGTTGTCTCCTCTTCCTCTTAGGTGTGGTCTAGAATGTGACACTTGGAAATCAGAGACGATGTTAACTAAGAGACGCGCGAAGACTGAAGTCGAAAGTTCCAATCACACCGTCAAACCTGGTTCTCAGTGAAAAACTTGCCGAGATTCAGCTAACAAACGGGAATTTTGCCGAGATCTCAGCTAACAAACATATTTTTTGCTGAATTTCCAGCAAAATAAAATGCCGAGCTGCTCGGTGGTGCCCATCTCGGCAAAAAAATCTAAGTGTGCAGAACTTTCGATGCCAATGCCAATGCTAATGCGTGAATTTGTATGTTGCGTGGCAAGCACAATGATACCAACCGGTGGAAACTAACGATTTTAAATTGGCTCACTACTTGACTAGCCTACTGATCCCAAGCAAATTGATTAACGTACACGGTTAGAAAAAAGTACCCAAAATTAAGTTCTTTTCACTCATCTCGGCACTACAGTGCAGGAACCCAAAAGTAGGTAAAGCGGGTCAAAGTAATTTTCATTTACTTGTGTGCAATTCGTATGGAATTTTCCACTCGCTTTCAACCCAAAAGTAAGTTAGTTGTACCCAACAGTAGGTAAATATGATTTTACTCAACGTTGGGTTCCCACACTTTACTACCCTAGTTGGGTGGTTTTGCTCCTTCGTTTTTGACAACATTAGAAGGAGGAAAGGAGACAAACTAGTCAAAAGTAGGGTACTTTTTTCTAACTGTGTACCCCATTCTAGTCGAAATTCTACTACTACACAATGTTTGTTTTGATTCGCTATGAAAGTTTGACAGATAAATGAGGGGTTCGTGGATTTTCTTATGTTTCGAGGGGCGCATCGATTAGCTTGGGACCGAAGATAGTACCAAAGCTGAGCCAAATAGTTGAGCACGTTTCTTCGGGACCTACTAGTCTTAGAGTTACCTCTATGATGATACTCTATGCCCAGGGAAGTCGAGAAAATTTCCAACCCGAAAGATTCCCTCGACCGGTTTGCCTTTGGCTTGGCGAAACCATGCCTTTACTGCCTAGGTTGAGGCCCCGAGGAGTACAAATAAAACACAGTTAGATGTTTTGAGATTCAATGTTTATATTTACATCATAGTCAAGCAGTAAAATGTTTAAAAAAATTACAAAGCAATTGATCGACTGTCACGTTTTCTCTCTCTCTGGAATTGTATGGTTGATAAATACGGAGTATAAACATTATAAATCTATCGATCAGTTTTCGATGAATATCGTGACATTCTTCAAAAATATTGATTTTCAATGACATCATCAAGGGAGCTAACTAAGCAGAAATATTAGCGTTACTCGTTAGCTGTATTTTCGTTATATGTTCACGAAATATTCGCTCCAGTGCAACGAAAAACATGTACACCGGCTCTGTAACGTAAATCAATGCATTGCCGGTGTAATCTTTCAATATGCTGTCGTGAAGCAATGAGCTGGATTACCGAGGTAAAGCAATCGGTTAAGTTGTGTGAGTAAAACCCCTGTATGATACAAGCAATTAGTGACGTCACTACTTGCGTTTACATTGATTTTTTGGTTTACTAATACAAAAATATTTCACGATCTGCTTCACCTCTATCTGTACCTCATTGGTCGTGAAGGACGTCAAAAAAGGAACATCACTCATACAGGGTAGGAAACAAGAATCGCAGACGGCATAATTTTTTGAAACGCTCTGTAGAATATACCCACCAATGTGGTATTTTTGGTTTCACTCCGAGTTGTCGAAAATTGAGTCTTCAAATACTTCGTTGGAATATTCAACTTCCAGGATATCATCCCTATCATCCACGTCTCGAGATTCAGTGGAAGTTCCATGGGAAGTGCCGACTGCTGATGGGTTTAGTATATGTAAGTTACGAATTGTTCCACTGAAATCCATCAGCCATTGCCGCTCATCATGCTCATATGACGACCCTGGAATATCTGTCATAAACTGCGAAACCGACGATATCTACTACACTTTTTAGAAACCAGTCCGGGATGAAATTTCCTGTGAAGTAGTACGCCACTACTTGCTTCCATCTACTAGAAACACTAACTAACATGACAATTAGCCCATGTGTAGCCCGTCCACTCTGCCCAGGAACAGTGACGTCACCGAAGTATTTTTGTTGTTACAGCAAAACGAAAGACTTCGATCAATGGAAATTTCATCCAGTACTAATCAACAATCCTTTTTGACTCCAGACATATATTGAACTTTCTTCTCCAGCAGCGTGCAAACTACGTGAAGGATCCGAGTATCAAAATGCAAATTTTGAAGATGCTCTTGTTGAGTGCGGACCAGACCCCTTTTTGACCCGACGAATGCCACCTTCCATCAGTTGAACTTGCTCCGGGTTGAACATTTTTGACGCTGCTTTCGTTGTACTGCTGGTCCGGCTCTGATTGGCACGGCGTAGATTTTGCCGGGGACTTTTGAGATTTTTATCCTTCAGAACAGTTATGTGTCGAAGCTTCTGAATAGTTCGGATTAGTCTAAGAAATTAAAATAAAAGAAAACCGATCATACCTTGGCTTTTTACATTTTACTAGCCGTTCTGGTAATACAGACGTTGGAATCGCTCGTTGGAATCCGCAGTAATCGTAGTTTCAATCGAGCTGCTCGGAAGCAATTGTTGCTGGTCACTCGGACCTTCACCGGGATCTTCGATGGTAACAGAAACCTATGAGCGTAATC